TTATTCGGGGTAAATGGTAGAAAACTGTATTTTTGGTACATGGTACTGCATTTTTGGTACATTTCCTATTTATTAATATACATATTTAATTATTTTTTAAAACTAAATATTTGCTATTTCATTGGAGAGAAAAAAAGTACCAAAAAGGGGCAAAACGACAAAACTTAGTTTTTTTATTCAAACTCATGGAGTCATTTTTTAAAAAAATAAGGCAAATAGTCAATTTACCCACACAAAATAAGTTATCATACGAGTACTACGGCCTATGTAGGACCAAATTCGGGTAAATTCTTTGGTACTTTTTGAAAACATAATTTTTCTTGAGCAAATGAATACAGACTTCTATCATTCGAGTTTTATTTCTGATATATAGGTTTTTGCAAACTTTATTCTTGAAAAAGTCTATTCCAGGACGAAAAGGCGAAAATGGTACTATTTTTATTAGTACTTTCCACAATGAAAGAAATTGTTCCACTATTACATCAAATAGTACTTTTTGCATTTTCTTTAATATTAGTTGGTTTATCATGGTATCATTACCATGGTATTATTACCAAGTGAAATATCTATCACAGAACTGATTCAGATTTTACAATCATAGTAACAGTAAAATTTTATATTTTATAAAAAAGCATCAATAATCTTCGAATATAAAATCCCTAAAAAATACCCTTAAATCAAATTAAAAATTTACAATATAATAAAAATTTAATAAAAATATAAGCCTTAGGTAAATATAATTAATAAAACCACATGTTAACACATACTCTCAGCAAATAACTAAACATATGTTAACGGACTTTAACAATCTTTATATGAAAGCAGTTAGTTAATCACAAGACAAGACGTTTAGCCAGACGAACGGAAAACGTCTTGAAACAGTAGCATGAGTTACAAACAACTACACCATAGTAGTAGTAGTAGTAGACTGATGTAATTTGAAATCTTTGTAATTTTTTCATTTTCAAAACGCCATAAAAAAAAACATACAAAACGCTTGAACTTGCCCTTATGGATTACAATGTTAGCAAAGCATCGCTGACCACAAATAATATTCATACTCATGAGTGTAAGATACAAAAAAATAAATAAGAAATTCCAAACCAAAAGATCGACTTACCTTGAATTGAAAAGTTGAAATGTTTTCCATTGATGATGGATAATGGTGAGAAGTTGTCATGTTTTGCAAAATGCTGCTGTAAATAAAATAAAGAAATAAATTATGTTTTATTTTTATTTATACATATATTTATGTAAGTATCTAATTGTATACAAATATTAATAAGAACAAAACCCAATTTTTATATGTATTGTAATTTAAGCTTTTAAAGACCGGAAGATTTTTTTGCGCTAGCCTGATTGCAAACATTTTATTTCTCTAAAATTACATAAATTCTGAGTCATAAATGTTTGAAATATATAATAATAAGGTTGTAAATAATATGTATTACATGGGCTTATTTAAATTGTAATAATTTTTTTTTGTTTTATTTATTATTTTAATAAAAAACAAGCTGGAAAGTAGAATTGGTCATACCCGACCCTTTACCGAAGGGCCTATTATTTATTTTAATCTAAATACATATATGAGGAATTTCGTGTCAAGCGACCCAATTTTAAAAATCGATGTCTTCCGATTTGGATGAAATTTGCACCAAGGTTAGTACTATGTAGAGTTTGGGAATTCCCGGACTTTTCAATTTCCCGGGAAACGGGAATGAAAAAATTCAATTTATATAAAACTTAATTTATAACTATAATAACAACATTTTTAACAAAAACAGACTTTTTTTATAAATTTAGCGATATCTAAAATATCCCTCTTTTGAGAACAAATCAAACCATTTCTTTAATTTTGCCAACGGAATATTTTAAACATAATTATTTAAATCAAGCCTGTAGGTACATGATCTTAATATTCGCGGCAACATAGAAATATTCTTCCACTAAACTATTATACTACTACTTCCCTATTATTTAGACAATACAAGTATGATCTGTCCTTGTCTTTGTTTGGATCCCTCTGAATAGGGGCTTTTATGGAAATGAACAGGCAGATGAGTTTGCTAGAACGGTATCAGCTCTTGATATCTCCAACGCCGTTTCAGTAAAACTTTGTTAGGTATTATAAAGAGCAGTATCCACACATTCTTTCTTCAGAATGTTGAAGATAGATGGGAGGCATTGTGGCCTTTTTTCAATGACACGTTATAACCTGAATTATGCGATTTATAGCAGTAATAACAAGATACTGGGTGCTAGGCAGATATGCAAATCGGCTTGAGCTACCCTGCAATGAGTACAGTCGCAGTTGCAGGGAAAAGGAAGAAACTGTCTTCAATCTTCTCTGTGAATGTCCTGCTCTAGCCGCTAAGAGAAACTGTTGTTTGGCAGTTACTTCATAGCCAACCTTGGTGAGATAGTTTGCATACCATAGGACTACTAAACAGATCATATACTCCATAGGCAGAGTAATACTTAAGTATTAAATTAATAAGATTCATTAATAATTTATAGAATTAGTTAAATATAAGAAAAGATCAATTTTTCCTTTATTTTGTGGAAAATGTCCAGCTACTGAGATTTCCACAAACGTTGGCTTTAGAAAATCATTCATGTCAAAATGTTTTGTTCTGTTTGTACTTGATTCACGTTAAGCTTTTATATAGATTAATTGATAGTTTGTAATTAAGGATTTTTAATTTCCTTCTGCACCATTAATGATGTTTTGTAATTTGTCTTTAAAAAAATCTACGATAAATTATAAAATCGCTTATTTTTCCAAAATATGTTACAAATGCGTTTACTTAAAATTTCCCGTTTTCCCGGGAATGATTAAAAAATTTCCGGGGAAATCCCGACAAACTTTTCCCGATAATTCCCGGACGGGATTTCCCGAACCCCAAACTCTAGTACTATGGGACAGAAGGCCAGACAGCTATATCGGTCAAGAACTGCCGGACTTAAAGGGGGTCAAAGTTGGACATTTTGGTCAAACAGTGTTTTATTCAAATGAGTGTAACTTTTCACCTGTTAGTCCTAGAAAAAATTGTTCAAAGGAGTTCAGATAGCTATTTTCTTGGCCATTTTTTTCTAGGACCAATAGGGGAAAAGTTACACTCATTTGAATAAAACCCTGTATGTCCAAAACGTCCAACTTTGACCACCTGTAAGTCCGGCAGATCTTGACCAATAGCGCTGAAAATTTATGTCTAGTTTACTATCCAATACATATTACCTTGGTGCAAATTTCATCAAAATCGGAAGACATCGATTTTTAAAGTTGGGTCACTTGACATGAAATGACCCATATATATATATACTTTATAGGAAGTCTATACATCTAAAATTAGACAGAATGTATTAAATGTGGTACTGTGCTATGACTTGACTTTCGAAATGGTACCTAATTAACAAAAATTTTAGAATAAGCTTCTATACACAGAGGGAAAAAGAAATATACACGCCTGGTACCAAATTGACATCAAAATGTTTATAATTTTTCAATACCATGTGTATATACATACGTACGACAACACTATGTAATGTTGACAACATTGCAACAATTATACACATCCGTTGTCTAAATGTTAACAAACGTGGTAAGCTCACTATTGGCAACGGATTGTTTGTCAATAGTGAGCTTACCAATTTAGATTTTGACAACGAATTGTTGCAATGTTGACAACGTTGCGTTGTCAACATTAAATAGTGTTGTCGTACGTATGTATGTACTTTGACAACGGATGTTATTGAAAAATTATAAAATCTTTGATGTCAATTTGGTAACAGGCGTGTATATTTATTTTTCCCTCTATGTAGAGATCTTATATTTAGATCCTTGGACAAATTTCTTTATATTTTTCCCATCAGCGTTTCTGAGGAATGTTCTATTTTAAATAACATCGCTTCTAATATATTGAATCTAATTTACACGAAAACCTGGTATAGTAGATAAATTGGTTTATATTTGTATAGTTGTGCTCTTAAGTCGGTGTGTCCACTAATACAACGGACTATCTTAAACTTTGACATAAGTATTAACTGATATAAATATATTAGAAAATAAGTAAGATTATTAGTCCTTCCAATAAATTGGTTTTATATACTTTCACAATTTTATTTTTACCCACTAAAAAGTTAAAGTATTCCTAAAAACAACTTGTATTTGCAAAATTAAAAAAATATATATATTTAAGTATCTAACTTTGTTGCCAACTGCAAGTTTAAAAATTTCTAAGTTGCCTTTTAATGACATATAAGTGATGATGATGCAAATCCTACATGGATTCTCAGCTAAGCTCAACTAGGAATCATTTTCCCTTCAGAGTAATAAACATTTCAACGTCATCATTAACACGATCAATATGCTAAACGGAATAAATGCCATTCAAAATAAAATATTTACATAAGTATGTGTATTCACAAATACATTAAAGAAAAACTTACATACATACATACATACATACACCAGCAGCAATAGTAGTAAAATAAAATCAAATGAAACTCTTACAATTGATATAAAATACCATAAAGTAGATATCAGATTTAAGTAGTAAGTACCAACAAAAAAACGAAACAAAAAAACAATTAAACACACATGCAACAAACAACACCTTACACCATGCTACAGATTAGCAGATGCTGATGATGATTTTTTATACTCAACAGTAGTTGTTAAAAGCATAAAAAAAATAATGTTGCTGCTGCTACTTCTTGGTAAATACTACTAATAAATTTTATATTTGATTATTGCTGTGGCTTGGTGCTAATGTTGCTGCTAATGCTGTTGCTACAGCTACTGTGATTTTCTATGTGTGTAAGTGAATTTTGATGTTTTTTTGTTTCTTAATGTTGGTTAAACCCCACTCAGTTAACATCTTTTGTTTTAGTTGCTTTGCTTTTGAAAACACATATTTTTTGTGTGTGTTTGCTTATGATTTTTTAAAAGAAATACAAAATTATTTTGCCGCAAGATCTCATTTATTTGCGGCCGCTCAAGGTGTTCACATCTCAAGACATAACAAACAAAACAAATAGTAAAGAAAAAAATAAATTAATTATAACAAATTGTCGTGTAATTGTTATAGAAATAAACGATTTAAATTTATAACGAGATGTTTTAAGCGCGAGTGAATTTTTAGCATTAAATAAAACGAAAGAAGGATTTTAACTAATAAAATAATAATATTAACAAAAATTAATTCCACATAAAAAATAATTAAAAATATATAAAGTGAGTGTTGCTAAAAAAGTTAAAATAATAGTATTTAATTTAATATAAGATGTTAATGCCTTTAGAATCAAAAGACTTAGGCAACATACTTGTATATTGCAAACGACCTTCAAAGTTTGTTGCTTAAGTCTTTTGTTTTTGTATTGGCGTCTAAATGATAAGAGGATGTGTAGGCTAAGTGCATTTGTGCAGTTGGTTGAATAAAAGAAACCCTTTTAATGGAATACTTTAAAGTTTGTTTCTTAAGTCTTTTGTTTTATTATATTTATTTGAAGAAAATAAACTTTGTTTTCTATAATATCATATTCTTTTTATATTTTTATTTGTACTTGAACCTTTAATCCATGGACTTTTTATAGTTTTATGGTTTATTTACTTATCTGTCTCTCTCTCTCTCTTTCTCCACATTTTAAGTAATAATAGTTATAATGGCTTTTTAAGACTCTTAAAATCAGTTCCTTTTATGCGTGATCATACTTAGGTATAATATCTTAATGACTTTACATAATATTTAATAGTATTTTAAATGCTTGCATATTTATGTATGTATTATAAATAGATGTTGATATGTACATATGTGTGCTTTTAATAGCATATATCTTGATATAATAATTAGCAAGAAAAAATATATATACAAAAGTTGTAAATATTAGTTCTATAATTAATTTTTAATGGCCTTTGAGAAAGGGTTCTTAACTAAAAATTTTATTTGCTTTTATGTCAAGTCATATATTTTCTTTTGAATATAATGAACCAGGTTTAGATATTAAAAGTAAATGTAAAAAATCCTTTCACGCTTTATATCTTTAAAGTAATTGGTAAAAATCTGCTGTAACACGCACATCCTATACACAAAAATTACTCGCAATTAAAAAAGTGCCTCAAACATAGTTTAATTTTGAACTAGATAACGCCAAATTTAATTATTTTCAATATTTTACGAGTTATTTGCTATATTAGCCTTTTGGGGATGTAAAGAAATTCCTTTAAAGATAGCAAATTAGTGATGTCTATCTGTCAATTTTAAGGTATGTTCAATAATTAAAAAATGTTAATAATTATTACTTATTTATCAATTAACACCTATTAGCTATTGAACTCTATCTAAGATCCAAGAGGTGACAAAAACTTAATTGTGAATTCCAAATGAATTCCAAAAGCTAAATTTTGCGACCGTTTGCAATCCCGATAATTTTAAATGTTTTGGTTCAAACTTCTGATTAAATGTCTTTTAAATTTTAAAGATATCATAAATCTTGACAATGTGGTCGATAATTTCATGACCACGCCCACTTACTTGCTGGTTTTGATTATTGTGTTTTCCGAATTCTTTTTTCATCACTGTTTAAAACAAAATATTATTAAAATCAGCTTTATGCTTAAAAATCACTGTTTAAAACAAAATATTATTAAAATCAGCTTTATGCTTAAAAAATATGACTAACATATTTTTATTGACCACGCCCACTTTGCACTATACTATAATGAGAATAAACTTTTTATATAAAAAGTAGGCGTGGGCATGATATAATCGTCCCTTGTTGTTCTAACTCCGTTTGTGAACATATGTACTTAATATGAAGTCTTTACTTGCGCTATTTCGTGGGAGATATTGACCTATTTTTTTAATATTTGATTCTCCTATTTATTATTCATATTATAACTTTTAACAGATTTCTGTGTTTTATATCCTATTTACTATCAAAATCCAAAAAAGTAATTTTCCACTTCAGAGCCGTGACGCCACCAGTTAACGTAGTCCTATTACGATATTTTTTCAAATTTAAGTCGAGAGGTAGACACGGTCAATACTGACAACTTCTTCAAAATTATAGAATAGTATATTTGAGACATAAGCATACAATCAAGAGGACTTAAAGAACAAAATATGAGAAATTTGTGGGTAACACGACAATTTGTGATAATTTTTGTTATTGTAGATATAATTGTCCAACTCACAATCGATGTTGTATAGGTGTATGTCGTAATATTTTTTTTATTGTTTTGTTTAAAAAAATGTATTTCAACAATTTTTATGACATACAATCATACAACGATACGACATCGATTGTGAATTGGACAATTGTGTTTATTGAAATTAATATACAATTTGGATCATTCAAATCTAAATACAACAACATCACTGTTATATCATCGTATTTTTTGCAATATTTTATTGTTGCGGAATTTTGCCCATAACTTCGTAATCTGGGGTCTTCAGAAAATTTATTTCAACTAGCTTAATAACTTCCGCTATCTTATAAAACAAGTATTGTTACGGATTATTCAAATCTTACTAAAAAAAATGTGTAAATGAAAATTTCCTATAATAATTATTGATATAAAAACACTTTATATTAAACAAAAAGTATATGTAAATCCCCTTAATAATAATAAATATACCATACAATTAGTTTCTTTTAAACTGAACTTGACATTTTGTGGAATTTTAATTAAAAGTTATTTGCACACTTTTCATGGAATAAAACTAAAATGGAATAAAAAGATAACCTTGCAATCAAAATCCCAGGAATAATTATAATTTCAAACACTTGCAATTTTTACGAGTCATTTTAAAATATTTGTTTGACAGCTAAACAAAACATCAAACAGAAGTACATAATCATAATACAAATGAAAAATAATTATAAAATTACAATAAATACTTAGTTATTCAGTTTTGAATATTACCTCATCATGCTTTGCTTAGTTTTTTAAATAATCAATATCTAGAATACAATTATTTGGGGAATTCTAGTTTAATTTGTAAAATAAATAAATATGTTCTAATTAAAAATATTCAAGTAATTTGTACAAATTGTTTGTAAATAATTTGTTTGCTGAAGAATTAAATTTCATAAGAAATTAATATAATTGTCGAAATTACGTTGTTATTATTTCACACCAAGTAGCAGAGAATGTGTATTTTAACAAGTACATATGTAGACAGAAGATTAACAAATGGGAAGAATACCTTACCTAAAATAGATTAAAAGCTTGCAAAAAAGTAATTGTACATTAACCCAGCAAAAACTCGGTAATGGCATGTACTAACATAACCATAGTTTTTAGGTGTGAAAATTATAATTTAAAATAAAATATGTACCTAAGTAGTAGTGTTGTGAGTACGACTACGAACTAACGAGGCCCAGGTTCGTATTATGTGAACTTTTTTGCGCGTAAAACAAAACAACTTTTTATATCCCTATTTGTAATTACTTATTTAACTATTTATTTGTCAGCGAGCGTGGTAACTACTTACTTGAAATTCTAATGAATAAGTAGTGAAAAGTCTACTTTTTTTTAGCTCTTTAATGTAAGTTTGTGCTGGGATATTTAGAAAATAACATTATGACAAGATGACTGATTGATTCATCATCGCACAGCCTAAACGTATAAAGCTAAAAAGTTAAAATTTTGACAGATCATTGCTCTCAAAACCTCATATCTCCTAAAAAAGGCACAACAAAACTTTAATACTTATCGTTTTACAATCAAAAACGAATGGACAGGCGACTGGTACTTTTTTTTTAAATTCGGTCCTTTTAGCTAGTATACGGGTAAAACTATATGAATATAAATTGAGTACTTTTTAGGTGTGAAAATAGTACATATTTTTGGTACATTTTTCACAAAACATACTGTCTTATCAATTGACTTATACATATGAATAGTTAACGATGCATTTTGTAATAAGTACCAAATGGGACTAAAAAGGGGAAATTTAATTTTATTCTAACTCATTGAGCTAATTTTGATAAAATATGAAGAATTGGTATATTAAGTGACACTAATGGGGTGTTATTTGTAACTGCGGTACAAGGACTATTTTTTTGGTACTTTTACGTTCTTCAACTGGTACCTTTTTGAGTTTTCTATAATATGGAACATAGAAACATGAAATTAAGTATGTAGAGACGGTAGTAAATCAAAATATTGGTCATACCCCCCACAAAAGTATATATTTTCCGGGCCCTTTCTAGGGACAATCTAGCCATGTCCGTCCGTATGTTCATCTGTCTGTTGAAATCACGATACTGATCACAATAAAGGAGCTAAAGAGTTAAAATTTTGTACAATTATTCTCTATTGATAAGGTTTGTTTGGTATTGAGCATTATCGATCCACAAATTTCATAAGAACATATATCTCTTAAAAAATTGTATAGTGATCGTTTCATAATTGACCCTACCCCCACATAAGATCCCCTTCAGAAAATGATTTTAAAACTCAAAACTGACTTTATAATAGCAGTACAATGACGAAATTCGACCCTTTATAAGAACAAAAATCTCTTACATGCATTTTATAGGGATCGGTTTATAATTGACCCTGCCCCCCATATATGATCCCATTTAGAAATTGACTTTAAAGCTCATAACTGGCTTAATAAGAGCAGTATAAAGACGAAATTCGACACAAACTAGTTTTATAAAAACACAAATCTTTCTATAAAATTTTATGAGGATTGGTTCATAATTGACCCTCAGTATAAGGTCGCCTTAATAAAACGACTTTAACGCTTAACTGACTTAATAATAGCAATATAGTGACGAAACAATTTTATAATCACAAAGCTTACACACAGTTATTGATGCCAAATAGGCTTAAAAATACCGAATTTCCACAATCCTTAAATATTTTAGGCTCTTTTAAAGAAAATTCGCAAATCCATACTCTAAAGTTTATTTAACTAATATTTGGTGAAAAACTTCTAACATCAAGACTTGGTTATCCTTCTCTTGTCATTTTACGTCAACATACTTTTTATGCTCCGTTAAATTCTTTTTTTCTCCCCTACAAATCTTACACTAATCCGTTGTCATATTTTTAATTAAATTGTTTTTTTTTTAAATAGAAATTTTATACCACATACAAACTCTAAACAAAACGATCACTATGTAATTATTGTAATGAAGAATGATAATCAGAATTTTAAATATCATATTTCAAAAGATTCATTTTTTTAATAACTAAAAGTTTAACAGATTTTAATTAAGATTTTTAATGTTTTTTCTTCATACATTAAAAATTAATGAAAACTATAAATAATTGTTTCCCTATTTTTACCTTTGCTGTAAAGTATTTTATATAAAAAATGAACAAATTTAAAAAAATCTTAATCAGCAAATATTTTATGGCAAATATTAATTTAAATTTGTAATTTATGAGAGACGTTGTGGTGTGTTGGAACGACCGATTATTAATGGTATGTAAGTGTGTAAAAGGGGAGAACAAACTTTATGTTAAAGAAGGGGCCATAACAAATTGAAATGTTTTTTTTTTTTACTATGACCCACATTTAAGTAATTAAAGTTATCCAACGGATTACAATACTTTATTTTTAATGGAATTATATTGGAATGTTATGGCTTATATCTGTGTTATCCAAGTGTCTTAGGGACCGATTTACATATATATATATGAATTATCTTCTGAAAGCAGGATGTGATGCTGATGGTGGATTTGGAAACTTAGTAAAATATGTTAATATATCCTAAAACTGGCGCACTGTTTGTGATAAGTAATGATAAGAAAGAAATTACAGTAATATATAAAATTACTTGGTTGATAATTTCAAAAGGTCTTAAAATCGGTAAATATATAATATAGTTAAATATAGAATCGGGCTTTAAAGAAATTTATCACTCTTTTATAATTCTGTAGAGTTCGATCCATAAATAACCTAAGCCTTCATAAAAGGCTCTATTCCGCAAATAACTCTAATGCTCATACTTGTTAGTATTTCATAAGAATCCAGAAGATAGATATTTTAATAAAATTTCAATATTTTAAAAAGATTTCTATAGTTAATAAAAAATTTGTATAATAACATTCCATCACATACATATTTTTAAGTACTTTACAATGTCATTTACCTAAGCTACGGGTAACATGTATGATACCAAAATCTTAAGGCTATTTTTTTATTATTTCTGTTATACGCAGAACTATATATAGAACACCACAGTTCGTTCATCGGCATGTAAGAGAAATCTTTTTAAAAAGAACTTTTATAATTGAAAATAATAAAAAATGGTTAAGGTTCAATGAAGCAAATTAAAAATTTGCATAAATTAAAGCGACAATATATGAACAAGTAAAATTATTAATAACCTCCGGCAATATTACACATATAAATTGAGGCATTATTTGTTTAAAAACTTAAACAGCTCAAAGGTTTTAGACCACAAAAATCTGAACAGAAGCATTAATAAGAGAGTGACAGCATTAAAGCAAATGAATATTTACAAAAAAGTAAACACTTAAAAGCACTGCTTAAGGGTTATACGAAAAGAGAAAAAAACCACGACCACCAAGTAGCTTTCATATTCATATTTTTTGTTTTTGCAACAAATTTAAAGAAAAACAACCAAAAAACAATCAACAGCTGTGAATAGAAATAAACTCAAATAAACATACATACAATATAATCAGCGGTTAAATGATCGTTGTTAAACGATCGTATGTGTTTAAACTTTTCATTAATTAATCACTCATTAACTTAAGTAGACGCAAAAAATATAAAGAAACAAATATGTACGTTGAAATACGATATGATATGTTGACGATTACATTTTAAAGATAAAGATACAAAAAAATATGTATATTCATTGAATAAATAAACCAAACGAACGAATATCATGGGTATAAACCATACATGGGAGTAGTTAATTATATCGACTAATTAATTGACGATTTCATTAGCATTACATTGAAAAAAATTATAATTATTTTTTTTTTTTCATTAGCATTATTTTGTCTAATGGTAATGGTTTTAATGAAACGATTTCATTAGTAATTATTTAAAAATAAATTTTCATTACCATTATTCAATGGATTTTAAAAATGTTCGAACATTAGTTCGAATTTCGAAATTAATTTCGAATATCCGAACATTATAATGTATTGTCATTAGGTGAAATCATGTATGCCAAATTTCAGCACATTCGGACTAGAAGAACTAGTTTTAACAGCTTTAAAAATTTTTCGAACACGAGTTCGAATTTTCGAAATTTTTTTTTTTAGGTTTTATGACACAGAGATTAATTTAAAAACATAAAAAAAATTTCGAAAATAACTTCGAATTTTCGAACTTAATTTCGAATATTCGAACATATTATTGTATTGTCATCAGATGTACTTATGACTGCAAAATTTCAGCCAATTTGGGCTACGGGAACTGGTTTTAAAAGCTTTCAAACCTCGAATCTTCGAAAAATTTCCTTAATATATTTTTCGACAATTATAAATACTAATTAAATTCGTTTTTGAAAATTCATTATCAAATTCATTACCATTATCAAAAAAAGTTATAATGAAAAAAATATAATTTTCATTAAATGGTACTTAAAATATTTTTCATTACAATTTTTTCTATAAATGGTAATGAAATTTTAATGCTTAATGAAAAATTCCCATGTATGGTATAAACATACATATATATTGGCGCTGATTGTTATTTTAAAGGCGTCTTAAGGCGGGCGTTGACTGTTGTTTAAGATGAAATGAGCGAGGGAGAGAGAAAGAAATATAAGATGCCCATGCGCGTGCGAATTTAAGCAATTTTTTCACTAGAAAAAAAATATATAATTAATGAGATCTAACATGCTAAAGATGTCTCAGATATTTAATTTATTCGAAGAAAAGAGTTTAATGCTTGGCTGCACTTCAACAAACTTTATTAATTTTAAATCAATCATTTACTTTATTTGTTGGTAGAGGTGAGAACGAATTGTATCTTTAAATGTTTTTAAATCGTGCAATGTTGCAACAATGTGTAGAAACTGTTATTGGGTTATTATTAGATTTTTCATTGAAAATATTTGGCATAAAAATGTGTCAGATAAAAACAATAAGTAGAAGAGCTTTACGTGAACAGCATTAACAAACACAGGGAGAGCTTATGAGACGACTCGCCACCGTCTCTACGAGCTTCTTACACGCCGTTGACAAGTTTTGTACATGGTTTCTGCCGGTCTTCGTAAAAGCGCTGCCCCGTTGCTTAACATAAGAGGTGCAAAAACATACTTCCGTTTAAAACCATGCAGATGGGATGGCCTGTGTTGATTCGTCAACAGCACCCAGAGACGGTAATCGGTAGACCGAAAAACGAATCCATCAAATATGCTGATTACTTACAGAAAACACATTGTGGTAAATCTGGTATAAACAGAGTAAACCCTATCATTCATGCGATACACTCATTAAAAAAACATCCGATACACTCGCTCTAGGTATACGGATGGGCGAGGCCCGCATACCCCTTCATTCACTCCGTATCATACACACTTGACACTTGTACTTATGCCGAATTATAGAATTTACCCTGTATCAGTCTTTTAACCAACATTCTCTTCCCACAAGTTTCGGGTTAAACCACAGCCACCACGTGGATGCGGGACAAAACAAGTTCGAAAGTCTGCTCTTTGGAATACCGGTTTCCCTGGTACCAGATTATAAGGCTCCTTGGTCCGACGCCAGGTCAAATCATTCAAGTAAAGACTCTACCAGTTTATAATCTCGGCAGACTAAAGGTATTAGTAGCTCCTCTTTTCCCCCAGATTGCAATAACACCAAGATGAGGAAGATCATCAAGGTAACATGCCCCGGGTGGTGTTAACAATATTCCAAATACAAAGATCATGTATCCAAAAGGCAATTAATCGAAAGGGTCTTTATAGTATTGTTTTAGTTAAGTTATATATAAGCCGACTAAAAGCTTATTACTTTGGGTCCAATCAGGGGACATTCTTGAATCATTCTCGTTTTCTTGTAGAGAGATTTGTTGCTTTTCTCATGAGGCTTTATTTCGGAAATTTGGAGCAAACGATCATTTTATCAGTATTTTTTGGGGATCGTGACTCCAAAGTTCAATGTAGGAAGTAAACGTTAAGGGATAAGGGAATCAAATGATCTCATTTTTCTCTGGCGATCATGACTAAAAATATATATGTAAATAGCTCGATCTTTACCGAAAATCGGTGACTATTTATCATTATCAAAGATTATTTGTTTCTCTATAGATCCCAACAAGGTTCATAAATGAGATAGGATAGATATAGGTAGCTCATTTAAATAATGGAAAGTGTTAACATTGACTCAATGACCACAAAATTTAAAATTCGTGTAATTTAACGCCCAATTAATGATTGCGTTTTTTTATTATATTTATTTATTATTTTTTTTCTCAGTTCAATTCGTTTGACTTAATGAAACAAATCAAAATTATTTATGCGTAGTAATTAATCATTAATTTCTTTGTTTTTTTTTTCTCTATATATTTACACATATCTGTTGTCGATTTTATTTGAATATGAATTTTTAATAATATTTTTTATTTTTTATTTTTTTCTTTTAAATGTTGAAATAAAACAACTGTTTTTCAAAAATATCTTATTGGGTGGGTGATTAACTGACACACTTTTATTATAATTGAGCAGTCGGAGTCGGTAGTTTTGTGATTTTTTTGGTGCGAATAGTGAAATGACGATTTCGCAAGTGTCAAATTTATTTCATTTTTTTTCTTTTGAATAATAAAGTTGTTATGTTCGACTGTTGGTAGATTGTCAAGAAGTTTAATTAATGTGTTTACCGCATTTTTGAATAGAAATACTTTCAATTCGGTAAGCAATAAAAGAAAATAGGTTAAGGCTTTAAAAACACTATCGAAATTGATTATTAAGTAATAGTACAATAGATATTACATTATTTAAAAATATTTAATATTTAATAACAATGAATGGTAGGCAATTGTTATTTAGTAGAATAATATATAACAACATCTCATCTCATTTACTTATGAAATTTTATTTATTTTAATTATAATTCCACTGAATATTTTCTTTTATTTTATATTTCAGCATGTTGTACACGCGACAGTCTATCACTTTATGTTTAATATCATTCCTAACAATTCTTGCCACACCTGCCTTTCTAGTCAAAGCCTATATTATTGATACGACTGCATCAACTGCCCAATCAACACCCTCTTCCTATTTGGGTTCAAAAGTTCTATTTCAAAGTCCTAGTGTCGAAAATATTTACAAAGAAATGATTGTGTCATCGAAACCTTTAAATTTACGCAAATATTCAACACGTCCCAAAACTAAGAAGACTAAAAAAGATTCACGAATCTATTATATACCCATACCACCACTGCCATATCGTTTTCTACCCGGCATCGGTTACGATTATCAACCTATGAAAATTAAACCTTTACTAGTGGAACCAGAGGTGGCTGTGACTACAGAGGATTATTCGGGTTATAAAATTCCAAATCCTTATAAACATTATCAACAACAATTACAAATGTCCTACTTTAAACCATTGATGGCAATGCAGCAGCAGCAGCAACAACAAAATTATCAAATACCCACAACACAGGCACCAGTTCGAAAACCACCAGTAGCAGAGAGTAAAGTATTTCGTCTAGATCGTGACGATTATTATTTTAATGGTCGGCCATTTAGATTGCAAGTGGCGCATGCTGGTCCAAAATACAATTTAACACCGCAAAATTTAAAATCATCATTTTATTTCGATAAAAATATTATTTATTAAGTTATACTTTATAGTTTAAAAATAAATGTAAATTAAAAGATAAAGCTATTTAAGGTGTTTTTCTTTTTCCTTAAGAGTACAATTTTTCAGTCAAATAAGGAGGGCATGGGGTATCAAATGTTCAATTAATAAATACGTCATTGAGAGCACAAAAGTAGATCCATATTATTGGCGAAAGAAACGGAACTCAAGTGTTATACTTGCAAAATATTTATTGAAAATAACCTAGTCTTCGAATTTTTAAAGAAAAAATATTAAGAGAGTCACCCGATAAAAATTGAATCTGATGTACAGTTCCTCTACTTACCAAATCTGATCTCTACTTTAGTTTTTCGAGATATCGTCTGCTAAATTTTGAAAACTTCATTTAAGCTTTACTTTAAGATATCTAGAACAGAGAAGAACATATAACACAAATATTTTAGAGTCGACTGATTGGACTTTCAGTTGTCATAAATTCTATAAGGTCTAAACGGTGGGACCAAGTTTCTTAAAATTGTAATAGTGAATTCTTGTATGTCTGGAAGGATATATAGGCTACTATTTATTTCGAAGTTTTAAGTAGGCGAGGTGTCACGCCTACCTGCAAAATACATACATACATACTACATATATCAGAAACTGCAACAGTTAGAGCCCTCAAACTTTGTATAGACAACTTTGACATCTACATATATGTACGAATGAGCGTTTGTGAACAAAACTGGGAAAAATTATTTAGTATATCTGATAAAATTATAGTATATCTGAGAGTAAGAGTTCTAAAATTTTCTAGGATCCACTTTATTATCAAATTGAATATTTTAAAGAATTCACGTCCGTTGTAAATATTTGGCTAATAAATTTTCAGATAGTGGCCTCCGGTAGGTTAGTGGTTAGTGTTCTAGTCTCGGAGGTGGTGGGTTCGATTCCCATCTGAGGCACTGGTTAAGAAGCGCACAACATGTTCGATAGAGGCCTAGGTGTATTTCTTCCTCCTTTCAAACTAACTAAATAATAGGATTAGCAATGCGGCACCTTCCATATGAATTAAATACAAATATATATATATATATATATGGAAAACCGTTAGAGCTAGAATATTCAGATTTTGCACGGGCAACATAGAAATCCATATAAACGATTTGGGAAACACATGGTCGGACCAGCAATAGTAGGCGTGGCACCTCCCATACGAAAAAAACAAAAAATCTTATATATGGGAAACTATTAGAGCTAGAATCCTCAAATTTTTCAAGAATAACTTTAACATCCATTCGAATATTTGGGTAATAAATTGGCGCATAAGCAATATAGACGTATATCTAGGAAACCATAGGAATATTTGGAAGAACTTGGTGAACTTGCTATAGTAGGCATTGCAATCCTTTAGAAGAGTATACTTTTGTCTCTGGGTAAAAAAATATTTAGAATGTCTTCCTTTCTAAGATCACATCTTACGAAAATTATATGTACATATATATATATTTTTATTTATTTTTATGTATTTTTATATAGAGCTTAAATATCTCTTTACTTAGGTAAAAGGATTCCCCTACCGAACTGAATCATCCTATGATATAGGCAGTTAATAGGGCGTGATGTGACAAAAATAGACTTTACGGTGGAAATGCCCATATATGTATATTCTACAAAGATCCTAATCTAATTTTAGTCTACAAATGCTAATTTTATTAATCAATGAAAGTAAAATATTACAATATGAAACAGTTTAAAGGAATTTAAAATTGATTTTATGTTATGTTCATAAACATAAAATTTTCCCAAATCTAATACAGAATATTCAAATGAATCACTTATCATTTAATATAGATTTATATATTTCTGTTTAGAATTAAATTTAAATCGCATTAATCATGATCGATTTGATCAAAGCTGACCCTAATTTGGTTAATTATTAAAAATACAGATGTTTGTTTGATTTAATGTTGATTAAAAGATTATAAAAAACGTAAGATAACTATAAACCGGGCAATAGTTGACATATTCAACAGCCATAAAATGGTAATTAACATGTTAGGAAAACAAATGAATATTAATTTTTGGCAAAAATAAAAAAAAAGTTCCAACTAAGTGTTAAGGTGTTATTAGTTAATACATTGCTTTAAGGCTTGAGCTTAAAAAACATATTTTTACAAGGATTTGAAAACTTAATTATAAAGTAAAGGGAACAGTTGGTTAAACTATAGAAGTGTGTACAAAAGGGTTGACATATACATAATTTTAAAATTAATAAAGAAGGGTATTAAAGCTTCATTTATGCAAATTATTTAACTATCATTTCATCTGTTTTATAACACAAAATTAATTATGAAGTGTTTTTTAAACGTATCGCTTGAATAACATTATACCTAATTAATAATATATTTGATAGATCTCTTAGTTGACATTTATTGTTAACAAAACAGAGTTGTTAATATTAGCAAATTGTATTGTGTTTTTCTGGAACACTTTCACTCCCACAAAAATTATATAATATTAATAAACATATGTATTTATCAACATAATGGCTAACCAAGGAAACTAATGGATGGATGTCAAGGAAACAATTGTTATTTAAAAACAAATTTCTTTACTATTGATTAAATTTTCCTCCATAGGAATTATAATTCGTTTTCTTCAAATTACAATAGTGGCAACGTTTTAAATGGAAAAGAATAATTTTGAACACTAAAATGTTTCAAAAGCTTTAAAAATTAACTAAACAAAACAATCAAATAAATTAATTTATTTTTAATAAAAAAATACCCAATAAAAACAATGGATAATGAAATTAAATTACCCACGGTCGACGATATAATCGTGGTGCCAACACTCAAACCTTTATGTGAATGCAATTCTACTACAACAAAAACACCAAAACAAGAACGTTCAACAACTCAATCCTCGAACGAAGAAGATTGTCAAACTCAAACCCAAAAAGCAGTGGAAGAAGACGAAGAAATTGTTGATATTGAAAATGTTACAGTAAAATTTCGTTTAAAAGGCAATCAAACTATAGCACAAATTTATCCCAACTGTATGACTATAGCTGAAGTGAAAACCGATATTGCTAGACGTTTTGAAATCGAACCAGAATTGTTGATACTCAAACAAGGTCAGCAGATACTATCGGATTTATGTTCTATACGAGAAACTGATAATGATGAATATGGTATACATGAATATCATTTGGAATTAAGTGTTAAATTAAAGCCACTTAAAATAGAGGATCAAACAAATGGGAGAAGTAATGGAGAAGAGTCGGCTAGACAACCTAAATTAGATTTAAATGTTTATTACAGGTGTAGAAGCGATTTATTTGGTGTAGTAATACTTCTATTAACATTTCGTGTTTTATTTTTTTTTATCATAGCAAATATCGTTTACCGGATTTTATCACGGTTTATATACCAGCCGAAGATTCTCGCAATGGCAAGGCCAAAAATATAGTTGTCGAAATACAGAATCGTTCGATTGTCAAACCATTTTTATGTGGTTATATTAACAAGAGCACGGGCATTGAATATTTGGATGCTTTCACTCAGACGGGACCATTTATAAATAAATGCAAATACCAAAACTATGCTAGCCGAGATACGCAAACTCGTGAACTCAAACCGAAATCAGTTGTAAGTATTTATTTATATTTTGAGAATAAGTTCTCAGGAATATTTTATAGTTCCACAACTACTTCTAAAACTTATGTATATTAAGAAGTACTGGATTTGAATGTTAATTGCTGATTAAAGGGTTTCGAAACGTAGTCAACACTCATATGCAAAAGTCAGGCTTGGCTTAAAGGAAATCCTCTAAGTCGACCAATATCTTCATATAGGGACCTTTAAAAACTTAGGAAAATATTGAGTTTTCAATGGTACCAGTAAAGTTGAAGTGTGTTAATGGTCTCCTCCTAAATATAAACTGTTGAGTTTTAATGGTCTCCACCAGAGTGTAAACGGTTTGAGTATATGGTCTTCACCAGTCAACACATAACCTCAATTCGAGGTAAAACGACAGCACGAGATTGATACCGATAATATATAACTGCACAGTTATCAAAAGTAATACATCACACAAGTGCAAGTGAGACGCAAATCCGTAGAAATCCATACAACAAACACAAGCCCGGTCGTTCTTAAATAATAATGGCGATGATGCGAATTACGATGATGCGAATTACGACATTGCCAATGGCAATGCAATTGCTTCTTTAGGTGATTGGATTTGACAACTGCATTGAAAATCCACTTGATATCTTTCGGGTTATTTATTCAACTGGTACCAACCGCATCCCTACTGATATAAACGTCGTGTTCTGGATATTTCGAATCCAAAATCATTTGCTATCTGGAATTGTATAGACTCATTTTTAGAGTATTTTATGGACCTATGTAATACAAGTTATAGGCATTTGCAGGTTTTAAAAATTGTTCCATGTCTGCAATACTATGCGGATTGTGTACTTAATAATGTGTTGGTATTACTTAATGGATCATATACTCAAATAAAAGATTCGTATTATGAATCTACTAAAAATCAATTATAATTTTTTTACTTTAAGGATACAATGCATGATCAAATGTCACAATGTTGGCTTGATGGTAACAATGTACGTTATTGGTCTGAGGCCACCGATTATTATATAACAGCTGGTAAATATACTACACATGCCCAGCAAGAAAGACGCATAAATAGGTTGGGAAAAATATGTTTAATACAGCGTAATTTTCGGCGTTGGAAGTGGATGAAATGGATGAAGCAATGTGCCCAGGAATACAGGTAATATGAGCATATCTTGAACAAATAAACCTTTACATTTGTTTCCAAAGATACGAAAGTTCACAGATCGAAGATTTTGATTGAAGATTTTTAGGGAGAAATATTTGAATTTATATAATTTTACAGACGTCTAGTAGCAAATCGTTTGGTCGAAGAGCAGGTCTTTCAAGAAAACCAACAAAAATGTATAAAACGTGAGCAAAGAGCAAAACAATTTCCACGAACAAAAGATGATTTTGATTTGTTGTATGGCGAGGTGCAAAAATGGAAA